CTTTTTCATTGCCCTATCCCCATCTTTTTCACCTCCATCCCCACTTTCCCTACCCCACCTCATTTCCCCATCTTTTTCACTTCCACCCCTCTTTCCGCTTTTTTCCCCCCCACTCCCACCTTTTTCATCTTTCACCCCACCCCACCCACACCCCCGGGTCGTTCTATCCAGGCGTGACCTTGACCCGCTCCGCCAAGCGCGGCTTCTGTCTGTCTCTGTGTGGTGACGTCAACAATGTCACGTGTCCGGACGGCTACCAGTGTCGCTCCAACGGATGTGGTCATCAGTGTTATAGGACTGACCAGTTCATACTGGCGCCTGGTGAGTGGTGGTGGTTGTTGTTGTTGTTGTTGTTGTTGTTGTTGTTGTTGTTGTTGTTGTTGTTGTTGTTGTTGTAACGGATGTAGTCATCAGTGTTATAGGACTGACCAGTTCACACAGGCGCCTGGTGAGTGGTTGTTGTTGTTGTATTTGTTGTTGTTGTTGTTGTCGTTGTTTTGGTGGTTTTTATGGTGGTGATGATGGTGATGGTGATGCGTTGTTCAGTGGGCAAACATCGCTTTCGCCGGCCTGTCTTCTGACCCAGGCAAAAGTATACAATGTAGTAGGAAGTGAGGGGCGAATGAATAGAACACCAAACAGAACCATAGGTGGCTAAAAGTTCAAAAGGCAGATGAGATTAGAACCATTCTCATAGTGAATGTATTGATGGTAACTGGAGACAGGTTTAATGTTGATTTTACTGATAAAATACAACGCACTAAATGTACTGTTTAAAACAGTTTTATAATCCTTCAATTATTGAAAGCAACTGAAACGTAAAACTGGCAACCATGCAGGGGCTTCATCTTTGCGCCCTGTGGGCAATTCATTTACAAATCTATCCCCGTCGTTTTATGCAAGAAATATTTTTTAAATTAAGCAAACTGAGCCCAAAAAAGTGAAATTATGCGATTCTGTTAATTTTAACAAAGAATTATAAAGGAAAATAATCAGAAATTATGCAAAAAATGATCAAATTTTGCTAATTTATGCGGGGTGCATAAAATAAAACCACGGGGACAGACAAATGTATGAAATCACCGGCTTGTGGCGCGGCCTAGACGGTCAGAGATAGTATAAGAACGTATAGGGCGCGGCGTTTGCGAGGAGTTGCACGTCGAGACAGTCAGGAGGCGGTGACAACATGGTTGTGAGCCAGAGCAGATAGATGGATGAAAGAGTCTCTGTAGTGCGACAACACGTCGGTGAGCCCCTATCGTCTTTTTGGGCGTTTCCAAATAGGCAAAACATTTTCTAAATGTTGATAAATGTACTCTCTCTCTCTCTCTCTCTCTCTCTCTCTCTCTCTCTCTCTCTCTCTCTCCCTGGATTTACTTGAAACTGAATAAAAGTTGTTATATACATGTATATATCTGTCATGTCCTCTGTACAGCCGACAAAAACTGACCGGCTCCACTGGTCTTGCCCAGTTAACGAACCGCCCCTGTCTAATATGTCTGTCTGTCTGTCTGTCTGTCTGTCCGTCTGTCTGTCTGTCTGTCTGTCTGTCTGTCTGTCTGTCTGTCTTTCTATCTGTCTGTATGTGTGTCTGTCTGTCTGTATGTATGTATGTATTATGTCTGTCTGTCTGTCTGTCTGTCTGTCTGTCTGTCTGTCTGTCTGTCTGTTTATCTGTCTGTCTGTCTTTCTATCTGTCTGTATGTGTGTCTGTCTGCCTGTCTGTCTGTCTGTCTGTATTATGTCTGTCTATCTGTCTGTCTGTCTTTCTGTCTGCCTGTCTATCTGTCGGTCTGTATTATGTCTGTCTGTCTGTCTGTATTATGTCTGTATGTATGTATGTCTGTCTGTCTTTCTGTCTATCTGTCTGTATGTGTGTATGTCTGTGTGTCCACACAGGTTGCAGCATCCCACAGTGTGAGTATGACTGCCCCTTAGGCTACGTGCTGGACACTAAGGGCTGTGAGACGTGTACCTGTGACTACAGCAAGCTGCAGATTGGTGAACTTATTATCATCATCATCGTCATTGTCGTTGTCGTCGTTGATGTTGTTGTTGTTGTCGGTGTTGTAGTTGTTGGCGTCGTCGTCATTGCTGGTGTCATTATCGTTCTTGTAGAATGTTAATTTCTCAAACTGGAGACTTGATGGTTATATAATTTTATGGTGGTCGAAAAAACAAATCCACATCACCATCATCATCATCGTTGTTGTTGTAAGTACGAACCCCTCCCCCCAAAAAAAAACCAAAAAAAAAAAAAATAGTAGATGGAGCTTGGGTTTTTCTGAAATAATATGACAATATGAAAAAAAATATGTTATATGTTTAGCCATTTTTGGCTTTACCGTCATCATCATCATCTTTGTTGAGAACTAGGGGGGGGGGGAGCA